AAAAAAAAAAAAAAAAAAAAAAAAAAAAAGGGTGAGTCTGATCTTCTCTCTCTCTGCTTTTTTCGCATCTTTAGTATGTGTGTCTTGCTTGCCAGTGATAAGCAAACGGGACTCACTCCGCCAAGAATAGATGGAGCTTGTGTGTGTGTTACAACAAAAAAAAAAAAATTCAACTCAGAAAAGCATCCACATGTTCCCCTACACAGATCTGATATGGGAACATTTACACCACAGAAGTAGACTCTCTCCTCCTCTCCAACTTCAACCAGAGTCGCACAACAAGCCAAGAATCACAACCAAGAGTGGACCAGGACCTTGAATAAACCAAGTCTAGAGGCCAAGGACCAGAAAGTCAGTCTTGAAAACACAAGCCAACAAGACCACAGAACCTCCCTCGACGTCGCAGCATCAACCCAATCACCTCCACCTGTTGGTGGCGATGGCCCTCAGCCTCAGCCCCCTGCGTCCAGCCTCAACATCCTGCAGAGCTCCAGTGCCAGCCTAGAATCCACCCAGAAGTACCCGCGCCACACTCGAAGAAGAAGAAGAAGAAGAAGAAGAAGAAGAAGAAGAAGAAATGCTGCCAGGTATGGCAGCGCAAAACCCCAACAACATAGATATGGTTGCCGCCACAGATATGGCCTCGACTTGAGTGGCGAATGAGTGGAAGAATCTAGTACTCGCCGGTGTGAATCCGAATTTTGCCGAGGGAGAGATCATGATAGCACCATGATACTAAAGCTCGTGTCATCTCTTTCTTTTTAATCAACGTTCTGTATCCATTTATGTTTTTTTCTATCATGGTTGCCGCCAACCTGCAGGATGAAGCGCCAGCTTCATCTGCGCCTCCGAACGAAACCCTGGCAACGGTTCCCAGCTCACCCACTGCTCCGCTAGCCAGGTGACGTCAACAAATAAACCCGTCCAAAAGGAGGCACACAAAAAAGGCTAACACTTCAGTCCTAGGCTATTTGATATTTATACTTCTGGAATAACCCTAGGCTACTGGACTGGCCTCTCCGAGAACCTAACCGCCTAAAGTCTATGGGTCGTTTTCAAACTCTTTTTGCTCGTACCATGAGAAATAACCGTAATCATTATATTATTTTATTTATTTTTCTTCTTATTGAATAAATATACATTTATATCTTATTAAAATATATTATAGTACAAAATTACACCCAGAAAAGTAGTGTTTTTACAAGTAACAGCGGCACCAAACTGACGAAAGATCGTGTACTGGTAGCAGTCCGTTCAGGCCTAAGAACGAGCTGAGCGCTGAGTGGTACCCGGTTTTCAGCAGTTTACAGCAACCTGACGAAAGATCGTGTACTGGTGGTTTAAGAAGAAGGACCAGCAGTGGGCAAAAAGGAGGGACCTTTGCAAGTGTGGGGGGGCTGCTGGGTCGGATCGCTTCCTGCAAGAGTTTCCCAGGTTCGTCTTCTGATCACTTCAAGCCGCTGTTTTCTCAGCTCGTGTTCGTGCCATCCGTTCTTTGCTATCGTGTCCTTCTCATCACGGTACTTGTTCGTTTTACTTTTTTGTTGTTGTCGTTGTTTTCAAAGACTCAGCTCAACGACATTTGATTTCACACACCAACAAAGAGGCTTGGAATCTTCAACAAACAACCTGGCACATGTTCGTTTTACACTGCTGCAGTGCTGCGGCTTCAGCTCATAATTATTGTCTGCTTGTCCTTCTGGTTCAATTTTTCTGTTTAAATTTCCTTTTCTTATTGGGGTAACTAGGGCGGATTTCCGCTTTGAATCCAGTTCCAGCATCCCTCGAACACAACACATCCCCACCCCCACCCTGAAGCTGGGTCGTATACATTCACGATTTTCCTCCGTTTGACACAACATTCACGAAATCGTGACTGAAACACATTTTCAGACTGAAACCGTGACAGCGCCAGAAAGGGAGAAGGCAACAACCTTGACACAAAGTACCAGTGATGATGACAGCGAACTCCATGCAGAAGGAAGGTATCAGACAAAGCAGCAGCGAGGAGGTGGCCAGAACTGAAAAGCAGCACCAACGGGAAGTGATGAGAGGCAGCAGACGCATGTGGCGATCATATTATATCTAAAAACAGTAGTAGCCTGACGCGATAACAATCGCATCAGAAGCATGCGGCCAGTCAGGAGCTGCAGCAGCATCAGCCTTCAGGAGGAACTGATGAGATGCAGCAGCAGTAGGGAGATCATCAAATGGATTAGCGCTGCAGCATTGAGCGCCGAGAATAGCAGGAGAAGCATGGGGACATCAGAAGCAGCACCAGCACGAGGAGCAGCAGGAGGAGGAGGAAGTTTTGACTCCTGCCGTCCTCACCCGAATAGAACGCCCGGTCATTATAGCTGTACCTGGACTGAAAATATTTCACCAAATATGGCTATAACGACCGGGTGTTCTACTGCGGTGAAGACGGTAGCAGGCTACTAGCAGCAGCAGATCCAGGAGTAAATGATGAGCAGCAGCAGCAGCAGCCTGAGCTAATGATCAGTTAGATCAGTATTAGCACAAAGTTATCAGAATATTAGCAGTGCCAGCAAAAGCTGCCGAAGCACAAAGTCATCAAAACGAGCACCAGCCCACTGAAGTGATAACAAGCACCACCAACAGCGGCGCCAGCAGGATGACTAAGTGCCAGAAACAGAACCACCTGGAGACTCAGTCAGGGATCAGCAGCAGCAGTAGCAGCAGCAGCAGCAGCAGCTGAGAATTGCCTATAAAAGCTGCAGCAACTGGGAATCGCCAAAAGAAGCAGCCACAGGAGTACTAGTTGATCTAACGAAGAAATAGAGAGCCTAGGTTGCCACAAGTCTAGAAGCAGAAGCCAAGGTGGATTCAAAGTGAAAAGGAGCAGCAGGCAGCAAAGATTAGCTGGTGTCAGAAATAGAAGCAGTGGGACTCCGCAATCATCAGAACCAGCAGCAGCAGCAGCAGCAGCAGCAGCAGCAGCTGGGAATTTCTGTACCTAATGCTCCAGGCGATTCCCAGCTGCGGCAACAGCAGCAGCAGCTGGAAATCGCCTGAGCATTAGGTATACAGAAATTATGAAATAATGAAAGCAACAGCAAGCCCAGGTTGTCACTATTCTAGAAGCAGGCGCAGAGGAAGCTGCAGCAAGAGCAAGATGAAGAGGTCATATATAGAAGAAGCAACAGGAAGATATCATCAGTAGCCGTGGCAGCAGCAGCAGCTGGAAATCGCCAGAAGCAGCAGGCCAGCTGCTCCAGGAGTAAGTTATTATTCAATGACGATGACGCAAAAGAAAGGCCCAGGAGAATCAGCAGCAACTGCAACTCGCCAGGAGCAGCTGCGCTGCAAATCACCAGGGGCTACAGCTACAGCTACAGGTTCAGCCTCTCAATTTGGCTGAAGTTTTACGAGGATGCATCGCCGATTCGCCGTATTCGTCGCCGATTCGCCATTGTGATGGCACATGATTCAAAATATTTTGCATTTGGCAAGCGATGTTGTGACTCGTGAGCCCCATTTGCCTTCAAGATCAAGTTGTCGGATCCTTTCGAACTGGATCGATGTTGTTCGCTTTTTTCAATGTTGCGTCTGAGGTTGTTTTTACGACTCTGAAATTGTGCTGCATGCCCCCAACAAAAGAATGAACGGGCTCGGCCGGCCGAGGAACAAAATAGCTGCGTGCGAAACAAACTCAGTCTGGTGGTGGTTTGACATCTGGTTCGTCGCACCAAGAAGCGAAGTTTCACCGACAACGCCTATCTGAGTTTGTACACCCATGAACTGTGGATATACACCGACCAAACTTTGAATCCCAATGCCATCAGGCGAGGAGAATTAATTCAATAATAAATAAGTAAATTAGATAAATTATTTTTCTCCTTTCCTTCTTCGTTTTAAATTTTAACCAATGCTATTGTTTTCCTCTCAATTTTACCTTTTGCCCTACCTACCTACCGCTACTCTCCTATACGAATGCTACAAAGCACCCCTGCAGGCATAGTTACCTCTCACAATCAAGGGTATGAAAGTTGGCCCCCTATTTTTGGGCCTTACCCCTGCATTTCCTGCAGTCGCCTACCTGGCGTGGGGTACAGGCAGAGCCTCTTTTTACCCTGGACCTTGTTGCTACCTGTTGCCCCTACCGGTAGTACGGCTTTCCTCAGACCCTCTACACCACTTTGAACCCCTGAATCTTACATTCTAGACGTGGAATGATGTCTATAATCCAGGCTATTATCCAGCCTCTACAACAACCTGGCCTTCAAAAAAAAAAAAAAAAAAAACCCTACACTTGGAGCAAACGTTACAACCGTCAGTGGCCTCTGTCTGTGCCGATTTTGTTTTTTAATTTTTTTTTCGAGAAAAAGTACACTTTGATTGCTCATGAAACCTGTGCCGATTTTGACCCAGTGCGCCTGTTCCAAACGGGCCCAGTATTTCAGTTGGTACACCCATGACCTGTTGAAACGCAAGCACCCCTGAGTTCCAATCGAAGCCAGTCTTCTTTGCCAGCGCGACCTCGCCGGGCTCGCCCTATTTAGTGCATTCATCAGAAGCCGCCAGGCCATCCAGAGGCAATGGTCTGAAGTCGCTGCAGTACTACTCCCATCCTGGGCCTCTCTTCAAACTCCTGGCTCACGCAACGCCAAGCGAGGAGGAGGATATCTGTCACCATGGCCGCCCTCGCAGCAGACGCTCCTGCTGCCTGATCCTGCAAACGCGGATCGAGAATCGCGTCCGGCAAGTTGATGTCGGGATCCCGGCGCCTTTCATCGTCGAGGAAGGGTCTTGCCCACTCGACGAGCGTCTGCCATCCCACCCCGGTCGGCGACTTCCAGACGGCTCTTCGCCCGGTCAGCAGCTCAAGGACCAGCACTCCGAAGGCGTACACGTCGTTCTTCTCCGACAGCTCGCCTCGCAGCATGTACTCGGGCGCCATGTACCCGAACGTCCCCGCAATGTGGGAGGTTAAGACGAACTGCTCGTGGGTAGAGTCGAGGACGAGCTCTCCGAGCGTCGCCAATCCAAAATCGGCGAGAACGGCATGGATGTTCTTCCCCTCGCCAGCGCCAAGCAGGACATTGCTGCTCTTGATGTCTCGATGGAGAACGGGCGGCGTGGCGCCATCGTGAAGGTAGCTGAGCGCCTTGGCGATCTGGATCCCGATGCTCACCCGCTCCTCCAGCGTCAGGGGGGCAACAGGAGGCTTCCCCTTGACAGCCCTCTGCAGATTATGCAAGCGCCCGTCCAAGCTTCCACCTCCGTAATAGGGGTACACGAGAACGCACCGGTCCCCCTCGTCGCAATAGCCAATCAGCTGGATTAGGTTAGCGTGATGGAGCCTGCTGAGGGTGTTCACCTCCGCCGCGAATTGCACTCTCTTCTCCGCCGTCAGCTTCCCCGCCATCACCTTGATCCCCACGTCGAGGCCGTCTATGACACCGGAGTAGACTGCACCGAACGCTCCCGCCTCCCCCACTCTACAAGCCTCGCTGAAGCCACTCGTGTAATGCGAAAGCGTAGCGATGGAGTACCGCTTCAAGACGCACGGGCGAAGGTCCCCGCCGTGCCCACAAGACGAACCTGGCGTGCCTGAGGACGATCCGAGCAATGGCTGCTCGGCCAGGAGGCGTCTCCCCCTTTTCCAGAATAGGAAAGCTGCCGCGAAAGTCACTACCACCGCTGCGAGGACAACGGGCAAGACGATGGCAAGAAGCCGATTGCGTGATCGGTCGCGACTGGAGCAGCGCTGCAGGGTGCTTTTGGGGATGCTCGAGGAAAACACCAGACCGTCGTTCGCCCCGACATGCAGCCTTAACGATTCATCGTCGTGATCTTCGAGAGCTAACCCCACTAGCGTCTTCCCTGGGTACCCGAACGGGCTCTCCACGCTGACCGCTGGACCGCAGGGCGATCGGAGCTTGATCCAACGGATGAAGCCGATGTTGTTCTGGAACTCGGTGACGAAGAGATCGCAGCCGTCGGATGTGGTGACGAGCTGGCGCAGGTCACCGAACGAGAAATCCTGTCCGCTAATGCCATCCCTCCCCGACCCAGCGACGAGGGTGACGTGGCCGGCCGAGGATCGCAGATCTAAACCCATCACACGGTTGTTGTTGTTATCTTTATTTACAAAGTAAAGACAACTTCCGTCTGCGACAATGCTCTGGGATCCCAATGCGCCTGTCTGAACTCTCGACTCGTTGCCGCCGCCCGTCGAATCGAGTACGCGCCACTTGTCCTGCGCGCCAAGCGGCAGTCCGATATCGTCGACGCTGATGGAGGCGATCCGCAGCCCCGATCGCGTGCTGTCCGCGATAAACAGCTGTGGCGGCTTAGTGCTTCGGTCCAACGCCAGCCCGGTCGGCCTGCGGACCGGGATCGGGACGGACGATCGGTATCCGCTTCGAATCGACAGAGACGTCATCGTGGGCTGAACGTCGTCCCCGCCCGTCTTCACGGTTATCACGACCAGATGTGTTCCGCTCGGCGACAAAGTCATTCCGGTCACGTATGACATGGGTTCCACGCTAGCGTTCCCGCCCATCGTGATGCTTATCGGCGACTCAAACTTGGACCCGTTTCCCATCGAAGCAGGCCACCAATGGCTCACGACCAATCTCTCATTCAATTGACTAACGGCCCCGGTCCTCATCAGCGATGTTCCAGCCTCCCTGATCGATAACAGAACGCGGTCGGTCTGATTACCTGATTCGCACCTATCATCGACCACGTAGTACAGATCCCGACCATCGGAAGTGACAACCATTTCTCGAACGATAGATGTACACCATGGCCGCCATGAAGACGGAGCGACGGACGTAACTCGCGGCGGCGGTGACGGACTCAGACTTCCTCGCAGTCTCGGCTTCGCCGCTCCCCCTGGCGGCGGCAGTGGGGATGACGGCTCCCCCGCCGCCGCCGCGGACGAGCTTGCCGGCGGTGAAAAGTCGAAGCTGCGCGCCTCTTGCTCCGGCGATACGGAGGACTCTGGCGGGGGTACCAAATCGCTGCTGTGAACCCCCGGCACCGACGCGGAGGCCTCTGGCGGCAGTATCGTGGAGTTAGGCTGAGGACCGTACGTCGGCAGGGAGAACCCCAGGCTATCATCTGTGGAGTTGTCTCCGGATTCCATGCCATCACCTGTTGTGGAGTTGTGTCCGGATCCCGATGCCGCCTGTGGTGACCACTCCTTTAGGGATCGGGATCGGTAGGCCACGTGCTCGAGGCCGCGGCAGCAATCCGGCGGATGAGCAGCGTTCGAGGCTCTGCCACGTGGGCAGCAAACGAAGAGCAGCTGCAGCAAGAGAAGGGTGCCGCCGCCACGCCACCTCGTCATACCCGTACCAAGACGATGGCATCGGCGCGTAGTGGAACGGGCTCGTTCCATAATCGATCGATATTGATTACAGCATGAGATGAAGCCTGCCGTCGTGAGGTAAACTTATCGGAGGGAACGCCTACGCGAGGACGCAGATTGAGCAGAAGCAGAGCCTGCAGCACCGCCGCAAGTCAATGCTGACAGAAGAAGATGAAAGCTAGGAGCAGCCTGGGGAGGGAGCGATGGATGCATTTTCGCCGTCCACCGCAGGATGCGACTGCCATCTCTCTCCGCCTGACAGATTTCCCGCCCTATTACCTCCTCGCAGATCGGTGGTTCCCGCCAATTTTATCCTCTTCAAACCCTAGCCTCAGCTAACCGTCCAAAACGCGTGGCCGCCGGCTTTTCCCTCCTCCTCACGCTCGTGGTTCGCGCTCCTCTCCCTCTCCTCCTCCGCCGGAGTATTTCGAGGGACGTTCCCAGGCGCGCCGCTGTGGAGTCGTCAAGAATCGGTGGGGCTCCGAAAAAAAAAAAAAGAATCGGTGGGGCTCCCAAAAAATAAAACGAAGAATCGGTGGTGCCGCGCCACGTGTGCTCATTACTGAAAAGCGAACGAGCACGACCGGGGCCAAAGTCGCACAAGCACGGTGTGACACCATGATACCGATAACGAGGCTTTTTTGAGGAGTTTTTGGGCCTCGCCACACTACTTTCGAAATGTGAAAAAGACAAAAATGCGGCAAACGCATCTGGCCATGTTCTAGGGCAAAGTTCATTCCCATTTTGCACATTTCGAGAATGGTGTGGCGATGCCCTTTAAAACCCTTTCGAAGGGTCTTGCACTGGAATGATGACAATTGGCTAGGACTGGTTTTGTTTGTTTTCTTTGTTTTTTTTGACTGGTTTCGAGACTTTCGTCTGAGGCCATAGGGCCTCGCCGCAATACTCACAAATCTTGAAAATGTTTGGCGAGTGCTCTCACAAATCTTGAAAAGGTTTGGTGAGTGCTCACCAAGGGCCTCGCCACACCACTCTTCAAAACCCATTTTCAGTCCAGCGGCCTAGCTCAGTTGGTAAGGCACGCAAGTGGCATTCAGGAGGTCTTAGGTTTAATCCCCATTGGCCTCATGTACCTTCCTGGGCAAGCTTGGCGCCCGCCACCTAGAAATATGCCCTTGGTCCCCCAAGTGGCATTGAGCAGAGACTGCTGATGTTCATAGGGGGAGGGGACCGGAGGGGAGGCACAGTGACTGGCCCATAGGAGAAGCTTGGTCCTGATGCTACCGGCTGACCCCTGGCCGGTATCGTCCACCTGCTGTAGCAAGGTGTAGCCCCTGCTGGTGAGTGCAGCTCCCGCATGTTCCCTCGTTGGAGGCTTGAGCACGGATGTGGCTGCTACGGGGTTCCCCGTAATACTATAATGACTATAAAAAAGGCCTGAAAGGCCGTCCTGTCCAGATTTGACAGGTAATTGAATTGGTTGGGCTTAAACAATTTTCAAGAGTTGCTGCCCTGCGTGGCCACACAGCCTCTTGAAAGTTGGGGCTTTCAAGCCTGTCAGAGTGGCAGCCTCTTCAAACCCTGTCAAGAGTGGCTCTTGAAAGATTTGAAACCCCACCCTGCCTGGAACTTGTGCTTTTTCAAGCCTCCTTGGCCGAACCATTGAGGGACTACCAATCTTCAAGAGTTGTCAGGCCATTATCCTGACTGATGGCCATTCGAAAAAAACAAAGCAGTAGGACTGTCTTTTTGCATCATTTGTCTCAAGCACCATGGCCCTTTCAAGAGCGCTGAGTGGCGAGAGGCCGAGAACTCTCAAAGACGTAACCCTTGGAAAGCGTCTGACAGCTCTTGAAACACTCCCCCGTTTCAAGAGTGGTGTGGCGCGGCCCCAACACATCCAGGACTCAAATGGCCTCACTCCACTGCTGTCCGCTGTACAAATTTGTGGACAGTTCACGGACAACAGTCAGAGAGTTCAAAATCTGGGAAAACATGGCATGGCTGCACTTACTGTCCTCTGTACACCTCTCAAATTTGTGAGTTCACTACAGACGCAGTGATAGAACTACAAGACAGGGCATCAAAAGGGTTTTGTCCGCCCGGACTCCAGGTGTGCTTGTGACGATCTATCTTCTGATAACCAAGGCTTTCTGTGTGATTGCACCTTTGGGGGGGGGGGAGGGTGTGACGCACGTGCAGAGGGCACGTGCGGAGATGGTGAGAGAGAGAGCTGTCTCTTATACACATCTAGATGTGTATAAGAGACAGATGCAGGCTAAGCCTCAAGCCTAATCTATACCATAATGTCTGGTCTGTGTCAACCCAAAAAGTAGAAAAATGTCTGACCTGTGTCGACCAAGAAG